AACGTTCATTTACATGACTGGGCAGGCTTGATGCTCCTTTTTTTTTTTTTAAAGATTTATTTATTTATTTATTATGTATGCAACATTCTGCCTGCATGTATGCCCACACACCAGAAGAGGGCGCCAGATCTCATTACAGATGGTTGTGAGCCACCATATGGTTGCTGGGAATTGAACTCATGACCTCTGGAAGAGCAGAGGTTGCTCTTAACTACTGAGCCATCTCTCCAGCCCCCTTGATGCACCTTTTTAAAGCAGTTTTCATTTTACTTGTGCTGTTGGTGTGTGTGTCTGTGTGTGTTTGTAGTGGCCTTTTGCTCAAATAACTGAACTTGATCTTGGAAGTTCCTGCACGAGAATACTTCAGACTGTAGCTGTTCTCTCAGCTCAAACCCTCAGTGAGCAGCTGAGCTGATGAAGACAGACCTACATATGCCTGTCACAAGCCCTGGGACTTGGGGCTGGTACTTCCCAGGGCTGTGGCAAGAGTTTGATAAGTTTCTCTCTTACAGCTAAGCAAGGAATGCCTACAACAATGAAATCCCAGGAAAAGGCGAAGCTCTTCCAGATGATGCTGATAATCTAGGCTGAGATTGATTGACAGAGCATGCGTGAGGGCTGGGTGTAGCTCAGTGAGATGTAGCTTGCTTATTACAGGCAACATTCTGGGCTTCACTCCAAGCACCACAAACAAATGACCAAAAAAGCAGTTATTGATTTATTTGTTGCTGTGATTTTGAATCACAAATTTTCCAAATCAGTAATTTTCCAAAATAACCTATAGACATTACACTACGGCAAAAACATAAAATTAGACATAAAGATGATTTATCAAATGAAATATAACTATAAACATTTCAAAGAGAAGTATTCAGAACTTGGATTTAGGCAAATTACTGTTTCTGCTAATTTAAAGATAGGCAAAATCATTTTCTGTTAATTTAAAGATTAGATTAAGCTTGGCATGCCATAATTCCAGCACTCAGGAAGCAGAGACAGGCAGATCTCTGAGTTTGAGGCCAGCCTGGTCTACAGAGTTAGTTTTAGGACAGTCAGAGATACACAAAGAAACCCTGTCTTGAAAAACAAAATAAAACAACCTATCTCAAAAAATAACCCTTTCCACAAAAAATAATATATTTCAAATGCTATTATTCATTGAATACATCTTTTCTGTTCTGTTTTTGGTGGTGGTGGTAGGAGTTCAAAACAGGGCTTTTCTGTGTAGCCTTGATCTATCGATCTATCATCTACCTACCTATCCATCCATCCATCCATCCATCCATCCATCTATATCTATCTTGCTATTGAGTTCATCTCTATTTTTATCTTCCATATAAAAAGGTGACTGCATATTGGATATCCAGGTAGGTGTAACTGCAGCACTCAGTGGGTGGAGTCAGAAGGATCAGGAATTCAGGTTCAGCTTTAGTTAGAGTTCAAGGCCAGTCTGTGCTACAGGAAAGTGCTTTGGAAAAAACCGTGCTAAAGTTCAGACTGCCACGAACCAGCTCAGCTGGGGCACTCGGTCAGGGTCTCAGGAATAGGTGGGTAAAGAGTTGGGGAATGACAAACAGACACAAGACTCAAAGGAATTGCATATGAATGCATCTTTAATAGGCATGAGGCTTATCCTTTATACAGAAAGGATTGCTTAAAAGCATGTATTGTTTTTCCATGCATTACAAATTATTCTTAGAATCATATCAGATACATGAGACTAAAATTTCATCAGACAGATGTCCCTGGTGTGAGTCCTCGGTTGGTCGTGCTAGACATAGTTTGGCATTAGTTTCGATATAAATCTCTCTCTCTCTCTCTCTCTCTCTCTCTCTCTCTCTCTCTCTCTGGAAACAAGGGTTTTCTGTAGCTTTGGAGCCTGTCCTGGAACTAGCTCTTGTAGACCAGGCTGGCCTCGAACTCACAAAGATCCTCCTGCTTCTGCCTCCTGAGTGCTGGGATTAAAGGCACGTGACACCACCGCCCGGCTTTGATATAAATCTTTATTTAGGCTATGAGTTCATGACATTTTGAACTAAGAGCAAGCAATCGTGGTTAACAGTCACACAGTCTTTTTATATTTCTGCCATCTATGCAGAAGAACTTCTTTCCTTCTTCTCCATATTTCTAACTCCTTTTCAAACCTTCCCCAAAACCAAGCTCAAGACGTTACAGGCATTTATCTCTCTCTCCTCTCCTTATCCCATCTTTGCTGAATCTGTCTTAATTGCTTAATTAGGATTTCCTTTTGTTCTTCATTTAATAAGCACCAGATTAAACCTGGAAACCTTTTTGCCTTGAATGTCTGTCGCGACCGCCTTGACCAGCAAGGAAGATGCAACACTTGACTTTTCTTTCTGCAGTTTATTCAGGAACCTTGAACAATCTTCTGACCTTGGGGAAAGCCAGCCCACAGCTTAAATAGCCTCTGGGTAGCCAACCCCAGCATGCCACATGGGAGATGCAGATAGGTCCAGATACCCAGAAGCAAGCCAGATCCTTAGCCTTAGCCATATATGGAGTTATTTACGAGTGAGAGCACTCACCATGGGGAGGTGGAAGGTGGAAACCAGCCAGTGCCATCTTTAAGGCATGGCACTACGCAGCTCTCTACAAATGTTAACCCATCTTCCCCCATTAGCATCATATACTCCTGTAGATGGCAATGTCTCATCAGTAGACTCTGGAAATTTAAAGACACTATCTTCCTTTCCAGAAGAAACCAGACTGTGTTCCTTACAACATAAGCAGGTAATATCAAAAGTGCAAGGGTTCCAATGCAGGAAGCATGCACAGACAGACAGACAGACAGACAGACAGACAGACAGACACACACACACACACACACACCTTCTCTGAGGGCACGCTTCCTTGAAGAGATCACGTAGACGCCGCAGGAGGTGTGTTACGCAGATCTGAAGTGTCCCTCCCTCAGGAGCTCATGCGTCAGAGGTTTGGTCACTGGTCTGCAGGCCTGCTGGGAGGTGGTGGAACCGTTGAGATGTGAGCCCCAGGGGGAGAAAGATGGATCCCATGAATGAGCCCTAGCTCTCTTTTACTTCTTAAGCAGCTTTGTTTTCCCAACACGCTCTCTGCCATGTCATCTGCCTCACCACAGATTCAAATTGAAACCATGGATGGTTTAAAACCTTTGAAACCATCAGCCCTTATAACCCTTCCCTCTTAGGGTCCTGAGAACAAAGAAGCATGAAAATGCAGCTAACTGCCCCCTGCCCCTCCTCATTGCTAGTGGTGACAGGAGGAAGGATTCATTCATGCTCAGTTTTAGAGTGTCACAGCAGGAAGACATGCAGGAGCAGTTCCTGTGTGACTGAGACGCCCACGCCCACCCCTAGGGTCTCCTTCAGCTAGTTCCTCCTACACCCAGTGCTGGAGATTGACCCTGGCCTTGGGCATGCCAAGCAAGCGCAATACCTCTTAGTTACAGCCACAGCCAGGGTCTACCACTGAAAAGCACTGCAGAGTGGTCTTCTCAGCGTAATTAGGGCAATCAAGATAATCACCAGCAGGCATCTCCCGATGACTATAGATTCTGTCAGGTTAACACTAACCATCACAACCTCCAGATACTCAAGAGTTATCCAAAAAACGAGGCAGAGGCAGAAGGATCTCTGTGAATTTGAGGTGTGGTGGTACACACCTTTAATCCCAGCACTTGGGAGGCAGAGGCAGGCAGATCTCTGTGAGTTCAAGGACAACCTGGTCTACAAAGTCAGTTCCAGGACAGCTAAAGATATGCAGAGAAACCTAGTCTCAAAAAAACCAAAAATTAAAATAAAAGAAATAGTTTAAAATAAAGCCACATAAAGATGGAAAATACACAGAGTCTGGATACTGTATGTTATTGTATTGTCTTTGAATTGCTTGATAGCTGAGGAAGGAGCAACAGCTGCTAAGACATTTGTTTATAAATGCTGCTGAATTAATCCAAGGTAGGTATTTTGAAAATATTCAAATTTAAGTCAAAGGATATGTTACTTTGGAGAAGATGTTTTGCTTTTGTTTCTTCAAGAAATGAGGGACTATGAATTCATTCTGCGTTAAGAAAAATCAGTTTTGACCAAGAAGACCCCCTGAGAAATCTTCAGTAGGAACGGATGGCCCAAATGTCTGAGTTCTACATCCAGAACATATTCAAGACTGTTGCCTAAGATGATCAAGCCTCACAGGATACTCCAGTCATGACTTAATCATGATTCTAAATTTTCTTTAGATCCCCATAAGATTATCAGTGCCCTCAATCGGCAGGAAGTAGCCTAGAAAACTATGCCCAGATTCCCCCAAAATGAATTTTCCTTTGTTATGGATGATGGTCAGGATAAAAGCTAAACAAAGGATATTAGATTCAGAGTTCTTGTTTTAAAATAAAGTGTGTGTGTGTGTGGGGGGGGAAGTGCTGTGGGACAATGGTCTTTTATCCTGTCACTTGCATAATTTTTAATAAAATGCTGATTGGCCAGTAGTCAGGCAGGAAGTAGGGGTGGGGCAATGAGAACAGGGGAATTCTGGGAAGTGGAAAGCTCAGTCTGCAGCTGCTATCCAGACACAGAGAACACAAGATGTGACTGCCTCACCAGAAAAGGTACCAAGCCATGTGGCTAACAAAGACAAGAATTATGGGCTGATGAAAGTTATAAGAATCACTTAATAAGAAGCCTTAACTACTGGGCCAATCACTTTATAATTTAAACAAAAAAGAGTTATCCAAAAATGGAACATAGAGAGTATAAAATGGCAACTTTTTATTTTTTTAAAGATTTTTTTTATAAGTATGTGTGTTTTGCCTGTATGTATGTACATGATCCACATGCATGCCTGGTATCTGGCTGAGTCCAGAAGACGATGTCAGATTCCCTGGAACAGGAGTTATAGATGGTTGTGAGCAGCCAGGTGGGTCCTGGGAACCAAACCTGGGTCCTCTGCAACAACAGCAGCCAGTGCCCTTAACCACTGGACATTTTCTTTTTTAATTAATAAGATAACATTTATTCTTTTAATTCATTAACTTATAAAAGTAAAATGCATGCTAAATAGAGAAGGGAAAAAAAGACAAAGTCACAATCACAACTGTACTTAAAACAATCAACACTTCATACTCGGATCCTTTCTAATGTGCTGGTTGACAAACCAATGCACAGATGCATAAAAGCATCCTGAAAGGGACTCCCGGGAAAATGGCTGTGAAGATGTCCACATTCTATAGCAGCTGGAGCAGATGCCTCCTTCCAAGACCGCAATGCTCAGACTCCTGCAGCGTATTCCAGTCACTTTAGTCATCGTATTTCAAACAAAAGAATCACGTCATAACACCAACCCGGGCCCTCAGAGCTGAAGTATCAGAGAAGTTCCAAAACCAGCTCTTATATTTCCCATGAATTCTGCTATTTACATGAAAGAGTGGGCGCAAAATCAATGTTGAGTTGCTGAAGCAGGATCCTTATTAGATAGTGGTGAGATCCTTCTCCAGCTGCAGCACAATTTCCTTGAGGGCAGAATCCTCTGCCCAGTTGATTTGACTCCCCAAAATAAGGCCCTGCAATTTAAAAAAAAAAAAAAATAGTACCTAATTTAACAAGATTAACAAATCCTTCCCTGTTTTTTTTTTTTCCTGGATGGCTCAGCAGTTAAGAGCATTGCCTGTGGCCTGCAGACATACACACAGACAGAATAGTGTATACATAAAAACAAACAAACAAAAAAAATTGGACAGGTTCCATGTAGTCCAGTGGGTTGGCACTGAACTTGCTATACATCAACTGTGCAGCTGAGGATGATGCTGAACTTCTGACGCCCCTGCCTCCTCCTCCTCAGTGCTGGGATTAGAGCAGCCTACCCATATGTCCAGGTCATGTGGGCTGGGGGCCAAACCCAGGGCTTTGTGCTGCCAGGTGAACACCATCAACTGAGCGATATCCCCAGCACCCTTGCACTGACCTCATCTAATACCCACCGAGCATCTACGGGGACGCAGCACCGTGATCAAGAGGAAGAGCAGCACCACATCCTCAGTTTCCCACAGCAACCGCGGCATCCTCGCTGCACATAATGCCAGATGGTATTTCCAGGGTTCACCTATGGGCTCCCTGGACAGATTTACTCACTAAGAAGCCTTGCAGTGTTTTGCCGGACTCCAGGGAAAGCACTGTCGCCTGGGTCGGACTCACTTTGCACTGCTCTTGTGTACCTCACCCTCTCTGGAGAAACAGTAACTAGAACTGGTACGATTTACTTTCAAGAGAAAAAAAGTTCAGTTCATCAACGATTTCTTTTGTTTTTGTTTTTTATTTTTAGAGACAGGGTTTCTCTGTAGCTTTGGAACCTGTCCTGGCACTAGCTCTTGTAGACCAAGCTGGCCTCAAACTCACAGAGATCCTTCTGCCTCTGCCTCCCGAGTGCTGGGATTAAAGGCGTGCACCACCACCGCCTGGGCTCATCAACATTTTAAACCTTTGAAGATGTTAACAAACATTTCTGTGGCAGACGATGAGTGGACAACGAAGAAATGATCAGGATCATAATTAATAAGAATTCTGGTTATTACCTACCGATAAACAGTGGTGCAAAGATAGTAACTTATTTATTGAAATAATATTTACACAGATTTTAGAAATGTTATGCTATTATGAATAAAAACATTAAAAAATTTGTTCTATAGAAGGGACATTCTTGACAGGCAGTAGTGGCGCATGCCTTTAATCATAGCACTTACATAGCAGAGGCAGGTGAAGCTCTATGAGCTCAAGGCCAACCTGATCTACAGAGCAAGTTCCAGGACAGCCAAAGCTACACAGAGAAACCCACTGCTCCTAACCAATGACACAACTCTCCATCCCGTTTCTGGGTTTTGGAGACATGACCTTTCTCTCCAAAGTGTTCAGATGATAGGTGTGTGCTACCACGTTCAGCTATCTCGATTCTTTTTTTTTGGGTTTTCGAGACAGGATTTCTCTGTAGCTTTGAGATCTGTCCTGGAACTCGCTCTGTAGACCAGGCTGGTCTCGAACTCACAGAGATCTGCCTGTCTCCGCCTCCCGAGTTCTGAGATTAGAGGCGTGTGTCACCACTGTTCTTCACGTATATAACTGTTACCTGGAACACATGTTGAATGACTGTAGTAATCTTTATCTCTGTCTGCAGTTTTTTCTGCATGGTCTTTATCATTTCCAAATCTTCCATGTTGTCCAGATCCTCTTTCTCTTTGTTCCTCTCAGTTTGTATCTCGAAAAGCTTAGTTTTTGAAGCTTGTTTTAATTCTGTTAGGTTAAAGATAAAACAACATTATATAACCATATATATATGAGCCTCTCATATATATGAGACCAATTGGCACCACCACCAACTGGCATTTTTTTTAAATAGGTTACTTTTTTTTTTAAATGGACATATTTGTTTTAAATATGTAGCCCTGGCTGACCTGGAACTCAGAACTAAAGGTGTGCGTTCCCATGACACATAGGACAACTTTATAAAGAAGGGCCATGAGAGATTATAAAGCACAGTACTTCCTGGTTAGTCCAGCCAAGACGTTATTTATTTTATTGTTATGTATATGGTATTTTGCCTTCATGTAGCTCTGTGCACCAAGTGTGCGCAGCACACAGAGCCCAGGACAGTGAGACGGATGTCCTGGGCCCGAAGTTAGATGACCATGAGCTGCCGTGTGGGAGTCCCACATGGGGACCCTTGAAGAGCAGTCGGTGTTCTCAACCCTGAGCCTTCTCTATGGTCTGTTTGGTTTTTTGAGACAGGGTCTCATCTAGTTCAGGCTGACTTTGAATTCCTGATCCTCCTGTCTCTCTCTTTCTCTCTGTCTCTCAAGTATTGGGATTAATGCCAGACCCAAACTTTCGGCTCTTTGCATGCTGGGTAAACTCTACCAACTGAGTTACATCTCTAGGCCTTGGTTCTCATAAATGTTTAGCCACTTTCAGTTTTACATTCACTGAAAGGATATACCTTGGTAGGTACGTGCTTTTCTCATTATTACTTATTTATTTATTGGTTTTTCAAGACAGGATTTCTTTGTGAAGCACTGGTTGTCCTGGAACTCGCTTTGCAGACCAGGCTGGCCTTGAATTAAAATCAGCCTGCCTCTGCTTCCCAAGAGCTGGGACCAAAGGTGCACACCACCATTGTCTAGCATGATATCTGCTTTTCCAATCCAAGAATCTTATTATTAGGTATCCAAATTCCGACGTGGATATATTTCTGTAATTTTTTTTTTAAAGATTTATTTATTACATATACAGTGTTCTGCTTGCATGTATACTTGCAGGCTAGAAGAGGGAACCAGATCTCATTATAGATGGTTGTGAGCCACCATGTGGTTGCTGGGAATTGAACTCAGGACCTCTGGAAGAGCAGTCAGTGCTCTTAACTTCTGAGCCATCTCTCCAGCCCTGTAATTTTCTTTTAAAAGTGCAGTATGGACCTTCATAGTTTCCATGATTTGCAGATGAAATGATTTCTCTAGTATCCTTGATTTAGTAAATTTGTGAGGACTCCAACCTGTAACCAATGAGACAACCTATACATTTAATCACGGTTTAGAGTCAGCCTGAGTCCAAACTTATGTCCAAACTATTGAACATAAGTCCCAGCCCTAGCAGGAACGACTGTAGGAGCCAGAGGGGTCAAGGACACAAGAAAGCCCACAGAATCAACTAACCTGGCTAATAGGGGCTCATAGAGACTGAACCTCCAACCAGGAAGCTTGCATGGGACTGACCTAGTAGGCCCTCTACATATATGTTACAGTTGTGTGACGTAGTCTTCTTGTGGGACTCCTAACAATGGGAGCAGGGGTTGTCTCTGACTCTGTTACTTGCTTCTGGGACCCACTCCTCCTACTGGGTTGCCTTGTCCAGCCTTAATAGGAGAGGAGGTGCTTAGACTCATTGCAACTTGATATACCATGCTGGCTGATAGACATGGGAAGCTTTTCCTTTTCTGAAGAGAAACTGAGGAGTGGATGGGGGGGGTGAGGTAGGGACAGACTTGCAGGAGAGGAGGGAGTGAAAACTTGGGTCTGGAAGTAAAAACAAACAAACAAAATAAATAAACAAAACAAAAAAATCCCTGTGCCATTGTGTAGTGACTGTTTCAGGGATTTGAGGGGAGGTGGGATACCTTTGTAATACACATGTCAATAGTTTCTTTTTTTTTTTTAAAAGATTTATTTATTACTTATGTATGCAGCATTCTACTTGCATGTGTCCCTGCAGGCCAGAGGAGGGCACCAGATCTCATTACAGATGGTTGTGAGCCATCATGTGGTTGCTGGGAACAGAACTCAGTCAGGGCCCTTAACCTCTGAGTCATCTCTCCAACCCCAATAGTTTCAATCAAAAGGAATCTCATGCCATATATATATATATACACACACACAGCATATACACATATCTATTTATACACACATGTGTTTGTATATACATTCTAAAAAGCTCTTGCTGTAAATTCCTGTCCAGCCTGCTGCAAACTATGTAGTGCAGGCTGGCTTTGAACAAGTGGTGAACCTCTGACATTTCGAGTGCTAGAATTATGCTGTAATAGATTACGTGGTAAGACTGTGAAACATTATACTGATAACTGAGAAATTGTGCACATTATAAATGTGCTCACATGGGCAGTGAAAGAATCTAGAACTGACATATACCAAACTGGAGTCACAAAGAGAGGGGCATGACTTCTTACTATAATTTTGTTTATCATTTAATTTCTTCACTGAGAGAATGAATACACCTATATTATAATTTTTTTTATTTTTATTTTTTGAGACAGGCTCTTATGTAATCCAGGTTGGCCTTGAGCTCACTATGAAGTACAGTGTGACCTGACTTCCCAAGCCTCGTGTCTAAGCTTTCAGAGTGCTGGCTTCATGGCATGTGCCACCACAGCTGACCATGATCTAAAATCTAAAACAACTGTCATGTTCAGAAATTTTGATAATTAAATTTAACAGCTGCTGAGAAATCTGTCCCTGTTAATAGCTAAAGTAAATAAAAAGTGTTCTACAAGCAGTTAAATAATTGAAAAGGGTCAGTGAGGCCAGGTGGCTGTATGTACACAGCTTTGATCCCAGCACTCAGAGGCAGAGCAAGTTCCAGGACAGCCAGGGCTACACAGAGAAACCCTGTCTGGAAAAACCAAAACCCAAGGGCTAGCAAGATGGATCAGTAAGTAAGGGCCCTTGCTCCAAAGCCTGAGACTTGAGGTGGCAGAAGGAAAGATTACCTCGTAAGGGTTGTTCACCGACCTCCCCATGAGTGCCTCAGCAAATGAGCATGTATTTGTGCGTGTGTACACACACACACACACACACACACACACACACACGTGCGCACGCGCGCATACGAGAAAAGTTATAAACACGGTTTACATACGAAGTCTCTTCTTTCTAACGTCAAGCAGTTTTCCCTCTAATTCCGCAGACTCCTGTTTATGAAAATGAAAATTAAAACATGTCACTCAATGATAAATCAATAACATATCACTGAGCTTCACATAGTTTGATTTTCTTCACTTTTTAATTTTTGGGGGGGTTTTTTGAGACAGAGTTTCTCTTTGTAGCCTTTGCTGTCCTGGAACTCACTCTGTAGACCAGGCTGGCCTCGAACTCACAGAGATCCACCTGCCTCTGCCTCCCGAGTGGTGAGATTAAAGGCATGTGTACCACCCCCTGACGAATCCGATTTTCCTTTTTTTTTTCTTTTCTTCTTGTTTTACTATATATGAGGGCTCTATCTACATGTATACCTTTGTGAAAGGAGGCATCAGATCCATAGATGGTTGTGAGTTGCTGGAAATTGAACTCAGGACCTCTGAAAGATCAGTGCTCTCAACCACTGAGCCATCTCTCCAGGCCTAGTTTGACTTAAGCTCCAATTCCCCCTTTCTCTTTATCTTTGTTTTTATGTGCATTGATGTTTCACCTGCATGTCTGTCTATATGAGGGTGTACGAGCCCCTGCAACTGGAGTTACAGACAGTTGTGAGCTGCCATGTGGTGCTGGGGATTGAACTCAGGACCTCTGGAAGAGCAGCCCACACTCTTAACCGCTGAACCTTCTCTCCAGCCACTCATCTTTTCTTTCTTTTTTATTTTTTGTTTGTGTTTGATTTTGAAACAAGGTTACTAGATGGGCCATGGTGGCACACACCTTTAATCCCAGCACTTGGGACGCAGAGGCAGGCGGGATCTTTGTGAGTTCGAGGCCAGTCTGGTCTACAAGAGCTAGTTCCAGGACAGGCTCCAAAGCTACAGAGAAACCCTGTCTCAAAAACAAAAAACAAAACAAACAAACACAAAAAAGGAAAGAAAGAAAGAGAGAGAAAGAAAGAAAGAAAAGCAAGAAAGAAGTCTACTATGTAGCTGGCATTCTGTCAATCAGCGTTTATTTAAAACATGATTGACAGAATGCAGACAATTCTCCCGCACCAGAACTCACTCTGAGTGCTGGGATTAATAGCCAAGGCATGTTCCAGTACTCCCAGTTATCTCTCAGATAGCCCAGGCTAGCCTTAACTCACTATGGAATTAAGAAGGAGTAAACTCCTGGTCCCTGTCTCTGCCTCCAACGTGCTAGGACCACAGGCATATGCACTGATACCTGGCCTACAGCCAGGATTTTCAATTCCCCTATTTCCACAAAGCCAAGGGAAGAAAATACTCATTTGAATTATGTTGATAATCTGTAACCTCAGTAAAAGGACAAAAATAACCTAAGGAAAGCAGTCTGCAGACACACAATCTCAGTGAACACCTCAATCCTGAGTTCATAGAGTTAGCATCAAGATGCCATCAAAACCCTGAAAACAGACACCCCATGTGCCAGCTCACCTCCTGGGACTTCATTATCAACTTCTGTAGTTTTAATATTTGCTTCATGTCATCAGTGAGCACACTGCAAAACAAACAAAATATGATTTATCTACTTAAGCTAAAAATAATCTTGGGGCTGAAGATTAGGTCAGTGGTTAAGATACTGCTCTTGCAGAAGACCCAGTTTGGGTTCCCAGCAACTACATGACAGCTCACTGAACATTCCAATTGTAACTCCAGTTCCAGGGATCTCATGCCCTTTTCTGGCCTCTGCAGACACTTCATGCATGTGGTACAGGTACAAACACAGCCACATACACACTCATCCATATCAATTTAATTTAAAAAAAAAAGTAAACTTTGGTGCTAGGAATGTAGCCTGGTTGGCAGACCGACCGCCTAGAATGGACAAATCCAAACCATGGTCTAGATTTCAACCCTGACTGTATAAAGAGGGCACAGGGGCCAAAGCCAGCAACTCCTGGACTTGGGAGGGTAAGACAAGGTTTGAGTTTGAAGCCAGCCTGTACCACATAATCAGTTCAAGGCCAGCATGGACAACTGGACAACACGGAAAGACACTTTCTCAAAAACAAACAAAAAAACAAACAAAAACCACAAGAAAACTAAAACAAACAAAAAACCCAACCACAATGTAATGAGTTTATCTGAGCAGAACAGACCTGTGACTTGGAGCACACCGGAGTCCAAGGCTCAGTGCTTTTCGAGAGCTAGGGGACAGAGGAGGGACTTTTGTACGATATTCATGGAAGCCAACTAAAGGAACATTTGGCTGGTTAAAGGTGAGAGTGCTTAATTAAAAGCTTGAAGGTGGTTTGTTTCACTGTTTACACTGGGCTTCAGCTTGCTCGCGGAGGAATCTAAGGCACCACTCAGGAGCTGGAGATGTCCACACTAATGATGCCCTGTTCAAATGATTGTTAACAGTAATAAACACCAAAGTAGGCTACAGACACCGCTTGACCTTGAACTTTCTGTTTTCACGAGGTATCCATTAAGCATGGGGAATCTAACTTGCACTTTGCTCCTTTAACATAAAACTGTTTTGTTTTTTAAATTATTATTTCATGTGTGTGGGTTTTTGCCTGCACGTATATAAGTACAAAAAACATGAGTATGCCCTCAGAGGCCAGAAAATGACATCGGATCTCGGGAACTGGCATTACAGATCGTTGTGAGCTGCCATGTGGGTGCTGGGAATGGAACCAACCCAGGTCCTCTGAGAGCGCAGCCACATCTTAGCTACTGAACTGTCTCTCCAGCCTCACTACAAAACTGGTGTAAGGTTCTGAGAGGGCTGAGTGAGTAAGGCTGCCCGCTGCCAACCCTGATGACTAAGTCTGACCCCTGGAACCCAAGCAGAGAAGAGACGCGCTGTCCTCTCATCTCCATGTGGATGCCATACCCACGGACCCCCATACAAAAATAAACAAATAAATGTTAAAAAAATTTTTTTAGGACAAGGTTTCACAAGAGTCCAGACTAGCTTCAAAATCATAGAGATCAGACTGCCTCTGCCTCCCAAGAGCTGAGCTTAAGGCTGGCGCCTCCACATCTGACCTTGAAACTTCAGAGTCTAGTCCAGACTCTGAGCCAGCGGGAACACGGGAACACGGAGAGGCTATAAATCATCCTTGAGGCATCAAGATGGGAGAGGCAGCTGGGTCCATCCCAGAACTTCTCAGGGCTCCCAGGAGGGCACGTTATCTCTCAAGACTTTCAGAGTGTTGGAGAAGAAAGCGCACAGGTGTGGCCTGAGGCGATACCCTTAGGATTTCCAGAGCTTTTATTTATACCAGAACTAGCACCTAGTTCCTTCCCTCTTGTGCCCTGCCCACCTTATCAGAACTGCTACTGAACTTCCCCTGTATGTGTTAACTACGAGATCTACCACTGAGCTACATCCCAGACCTTTTTAAAAACTTTTTATTTTGAGACAGGGGCTCATTAAGTGGTCCGGGCTATCCTTAAACTCACCCTGTAGCCCAGGCAGGTAAAACAAACTCATTTCTACCAATGAAAAACAAGTAGAGTCCTATTTCATTAAGTTGTTACTGGAGGACCAGAGTTCAATTCCCAGGGTCCGTATGTCAAGAGAAAACTGATAAGTTTTCCTCAAGTTGTCCACACACACAGACACACACACACACACACACACACACACACACTTTTTTTTTCTAAGTTTTTTTGAGACAGGCTCTCTCTTTCTACATAGCCCTGACTGTCCTGGACCTCACTATATAGACCAAGATGGCCTCAAACTCACAGAGATCCTCCTGCCTCCCAGTGTTGGGATTAAAGCTGTGCACCACAACTGGCTCATGCACATTTTTTTAAAAGTCACAACCTAAAATCATTTTGCATACCTCCCTTCTTGTTCCCATTCTGTCCAAATCCAGGAGAAATGTAAAAGCCACCGGGTGGGGGTGGCGCATGCCTTTAATCCCAGAGCTAGTTCTACAAGAGCTCGTTCCAGGACAGGCTCCAAAGCTACAGAGAAACCCTGCCTCCAGAAAGAAAGAAAGAAAGAAAGAGAGAAAGAGAGAGAGAAAGAGAGAGAGAGAGAAAGAAAGAAAAAGGAATGTAAAGGCCATACCTACTCTCAGCGCCCATCTTCTCCAACTTATGTCTAAGAGCAGCTGAAAGCTTCATCCTAAGAAAAAGAAAACATTAGTTAACAAAAAAGAAAATGGGACCTAAGAGAAAAAGCTTGTATTGCACAGAACAAATAATACAGGGTATTAAAAACTTTTTATAAGACTAACAAGATTGATTTTCCCCTCAATACACACAAAACATAATATATTTTAAAAACAGTATGGCCTGGAAATTGGTATGCCTGTAGTCCCAGAACAGGAGAAAGGAAGTTTATGAATTCCAAGCCTAGGTTCTTATCTCTAAACACAACACAACACAAAACAACCCAAACATATCTAAAATGACAAACCCAAAAGCAAAACCAGTAATTAAAATATATTTAAACTTCATGATGAGGGAAACGGCCCTCTCCAGTCACCCCAGAACGTGGATGGCTAAGGCAGGAGGACTCCGGTAAGTTTTAGGTCAATCTGAACTGCACCCCAATTTCCAGGCCAGCCTGGGCTATAGAGTGAGACTCTGCATCAGAAAAATTTTGTCACAATTCTATGTACTAACAGTTACTGAAATAAATGGACCTGTATAACACTTTTAAACACCAGCATGTTTGAAACTCTGTTAACTTCATGAAGACCCCTTATCAGCCTCTCCAACACACCTTCTTCAAAGGAAGATACCAATGAATAACGCAATTCTTCAGGGTTAAGTTTCTGTAACATTTCCTAATCATCTCTTTTGTTCCTCCCTCTTTTCTTCTGTGCCCTTCTGTATTTTTTTTTTTTTTTTGGAGATAGGGTCTCATACTTAGGCATAACTGTTTATGCTAAGTAGACCAGGCTAACCTTGAACTCAAAAAGATCTACCTGCCTCTTATTCAAAGTGCTGGAATTAAAAATATACATTACCAACTACTCCCAGCTTCCTCCTTGCACGCCACCCTCCATTGATAGGATCTCCCTTTGTAGCCAAGGTTGGCTTTGAATTCCTGGCCCTCCAGCTTCAGGCTCTTGGGTGCTGGGATCACAGGCTATGCCTGGCCTCTAATCATCATTTAATTCAGTTTAGTTAATAATAATCCACTTGCTGGGTGATGGTGGCACACGCCTGTAATCCCAGTGCAGAGGCAGGCAGATCTCTATGAATTCAAGGCCAGCCTGGTCTACCTGTCTTGAATGCCCCCCCCCCAAAAAATTTCCTTAACCTTCTCTCTAAGCTCATGTTTGTATTTAGTTCACAATTCTTAGTGGTATTAAAGTAAGAGATACCTGTTTAGTGCAAGATTTTTCATTTCGAAATTACTTTTTACATCTTCAATTTCATTTTCCAGGTCTTCAATTTTACTGTTAAAGAAACATGAACCAAAGAATTTCAGCAATGTTAGTGAAAGTTGTTACTGAAATGTGTATGAAGTAAATCTTGAAAAACAGCCTGAACACCTCTATTTGAACAGAAGAAAGTGAAGGCTCACCACACAGCAGCTCATCTCCACAGCTGGGGAGCTCAAGGCTGAGCCTCTTCACTAAGCTGGATCTAGCCAGTGTGGGGGAATGCCAGACAGCACAGAAGCCACCCAAATACCTCCAACACCAAATACCCCACTGCAAATCAACAACCTCCAAGCATAGGTATGACTTATTTATTTGGAATTACAAAGGATAAGACAGACAGCACTGTCAAAGAAAGAGGTTGTGAAAAGGAAGACAGTACGGATCGTATGATGCAATCTTAGTAAAAGCCACAGATAAAATATTAAAATATGACATACACTTCCATTTGTTTTTCTTGCATGGTCTGTTCAGGAGTTTTTTCTTCATCTACAAGTAAAAAGTTTTTTTTTTTTAAGTCAGTAACAATTTTATCCAAATAAGTATTTATTGTGTGTGTGTGTGTGCATATCAGGGAACACATGTGACACCCCTCCACCACACGGGTTCTAGGCACTGAACTCAGGTGTCAGGATTATTGGCCAGCACCTTAACCAGCTGAGCCATTTTGCTGCAACCCCCCTTCATAATTATCTTATCTTAGATGTTTCTTTGTTTACCTGGGTTGCTACACAGAATCTACACAATTTGTTTATCTCTTGAGACAGGGTCTCATGGTGTAGCTTGGGCTAGCCTGGAACTCGATATGGAAATCAGGTTGGCCTCAAATTTACAGAGATCCGATTCTCTTTACCTCTCGAGTGCTGGAATTACAGGCATGAGTCACCATGCCTGAGAAAAACAACTTTTTGTAAAGCTGACTCTCCCCAGCCCCCAAGAATACCATTAATCTGGGGGCTGGAGATGGCTTAGCATTTAAAAGGCCTGGCTGGGGGCTGGAGAAATGGCTTAGCGGTTAAGAGCACTGACTGCTCTTCCAGAAGACCCGGGTTCAATTCCCAGCACCCACATGGCAGCTCACAACTGTCTAAAAATCCAGTTCCGGGGGATCTGACACCTTCACACCAATGAACATAAAATTAAAAAAAAAAAAAAAAAAAAGGCCTGGCTGCTCTTGTAGAGGATCTGGGCTCATTTCTCACCACCCAGATGGTGGCTCACAACCTCTGCAACTCCAGTTTCAGGGCATCCAATACCCTCTTTGGCTTATGGGTACAGATATACAGCAGGCAAAATGCACGCATATACAATAAAAATAAGTAATTTTAAAAACATAATATTCATCAGCCAACTCGCAAAAGTACTTGAGAATGAAACTACTTACTTGCATCAATCACTGACTTGTATTCTAAGAGCTGCTGTTGTGTCTGTGCTCTCAGCCTGCAAAGTGAAAATGAGAAGAGATAGGAAAGTATTTCTGGATTGTGGTTACAATCCTTGTGCAATACTGAAACTTGGAAGTTAAAAATTTAGTTCTATAGTTCTATTTTGTTCTTCTTTTTCTTTCCTTTTTTTTTTTATTTTCGAGACAGGGTTTCTCTGTAGTTTTTGGTGCTTGTCCTGAAACTAGCTCTTGTAGACCAGGCTGGCCTCGAACTCACAGGGATTCACCTGCCTCTGCCTCCCGAGTGCTGGGATTAAAGGTGTGCGCCACCACCGCCCGGCTAAAAATCTTAAAAAGCATTTTCAGTAAATACAAAAAATGTAACAAAAATATTTGTAGTGAGATAAGTACTTAATATTTAGTAGTTTTTTTAGTTCTGTTATTCCTAATCCAAAATAAAATATAAAATAAATATAAAAAAAGCTGAGAATGATAGCGAGTGCTTCTGCTGCCAGCTGCAGTCCTGAGTGTTGGTTTTTAGAGACCCAAATCAACAGCTAAGAAACAGCTGACAGATGACAAAGGCTTACATTACAGCAAGTTCTCCAAGTGACAAAATTCCAAATGAAAACCACAATTTCACACCAGGTACCAGGGCTTCAGAGCAGGTTCAAGACGAGTCTTGACAACTTATCAAATCTGATCTCAAAATAGTGAAAAAAGGGCTGCTGATGTAGCTCAGTCTTGGAGTGCTTGCCCAATATGCTTCAGGCCCTAGGTTCAATTATTACTACAGGCAAAAACAACCCTGCCTCCGACAAGTTATTACAGATTAAAGTAGAAGTGTTAAGTATAGATACACAAAAAAAGTTTCTTTTTCTGATGAAATGGAAAGAAGTTGTCATGTTTATAGGCATTACAGACAGACAGTGTGCTGTAGTTTGTTTGTTCACACTGTGAATCCCGAGATCGCGCCATTTACTGGAAAAAAACCTGTTTCTAGTTGTGGTGTGGTGCAGACCTAGCTCACACCTTTAACACAGTTTTCTGCTTGAATATTGTAAACAGGATTAAATAAAGTCAACCACAGGTCAAGAGACAGAACAAGCAAATAGTTGACAGGGAGCGAACACAGGAAAAATGACAGAGAGTAAGAGGGAGTCAGGAGGACAGACAGGGAGTCTCGTTTGAGAAAGTGAAGGCTTCTGGGACCTCCACTAAGGAGGAAGGCCAGCTGGGTGCCTTCTCTGTCTCTCTGAGATAGCAGGCTTTCACGCCAACATTTGGCTCCTAAATCTTTACTGGATTGAGATTTTTGTTAAAACCAACAGATATGCCGTTGTATGGCTGGGTATGGTGGCTAATGCCTATAATTCTATAACCCTGAAGGCAGAGGCAGGAGGATTACTACAAATTCAAGATTAGCCTGGCATACATAATTACTGCCTGCCAGTGCTACGCAGCAAGACCCTGTTCCAAAAATTCAAACAAGTCTCTTTGTTATGACTTTTAAAGGTCTGCAAAAAATACTTTTCTTTTTTCTGTGAAGAACCATCTGGAAATAATTTAGCAAATAATTTAGGATTTGGGAGTCATACAGTGTGTTTTAACTATTAATCTCTGCCCCTGTAGCAGAAAACTGAGTCCCAATAAAACTTTATGAGCATTAACATTTGGATTCACGTGTTATGAAATCTTTTTGGCTCCCATCCTGATTTAAACACGGAAGAACTACGCTGAAGCCCAGTGGTACAGCACTGGCTACGCATACACCAGACCCTGGGTCCCATTTCCAGGACAGCGTTTTTTAGAAGATCAGAAGGGTGGATTTGGTCCTGGCCTTGGGCTGAATCAGCTCCTTGACATCAAATTTTCCCTAGAAACCGCTAACTGGAGAGCATAGGAAACATAGGAAACAGGGTCTTGCTGCGTAGCACTGGCAGGCTGTAATTATGTATGCCAGGCTAATCTTGAATTTGTAGTAATCCTCCTGCCTCTGACTTCAGGGCGATAGAATTATAGGCATTATCCTATATATCATTCTACTAGAATGATAAGCAAAGGAAGCTTAAAGGTGTAGCCACAAAAGGTGGGTTGGGCCGGGAGGTGGTGGCACACACCTCAATCCCAACACTCCTGAGGCAGAGGTAGACGGGTCTCTGTTTTCAAGGCCAGTCTGTTCGACAGAGTGAGTTCCAGAACAGCCAGAGTTGTACAGAGAAACCCTATCTCGAAAAATCAAATTTAAAAAAAAAAAAAGGGTGTGGGGTGGGGAAAGGGTTGGGCTCCCCCGCTTCCTGTAGTTGAGCTTGGATGTACTGCTCAACCAGCCGGGACTAGAGTGACAAGGTAAGATAGAACAGGTTCGAAGCCTTGCTAAGGACGGGGCACTGCTAAGCACTTCCTAAGAAGGTCCCACCTAAATCCCGACCCAGCAGCTTTGCGCGCACGGTATCCTTTGCTGCCCTCTTCCGCAGTGACAATTCAAAGCGCTTAAAAGTGCATTCAGGCTCGGAGCCAGAAGAGGCAGCCAGTGAGTCTGAATTTGAACCCTGGGCCTCCTGAGCAAGGGCGGGACGCCGGGCGGGGGCACCTGAGCAGCAGGCGGATGCGGTCCTCGAAGCACTTCTCCGCAGCCTGCGGCTGATCCCGCACCTCTCCGCAGTCCTCAGCCTCGGCCGCAGGCTTCTCCCCCGACTGCTCCATTGCAGAGGCCATAGGCTTGATCTCTATGGGAACATTCGAGCGTTTAGTCCCGCCACGAAATTGAAACCCGGAAGTGCCCGTTTCGCCCCGCCCCTTCCGCCCTAAAGCCCCACCTTCTGCCGCAGTAGTTACTACGGTGCGTTTTCTCTGGTTTCCATGGAGAAATGGATTGAACTCTCACCAACACATTCTGTTGCCTTTGGGGAGGGGTATATGGAGATGTAGCTCAGTGGTAGAGCGTTTACCTAGCAAATATAATGTCCGGGGATCGATGACCCAGCAACAACCCAGCAACAAACCAGGGGCGGTAATCCAGGAGTAATTTAACTCAAACTAAGAGTGGTCGGGAGCAGGGGGCGGGAGAGAGTTCTGACTTAAACAAATGTCAATAGCCGTCCTGCCTGGGTGCTGTTATTATCCTTCCTGCGACTACACTTCAGGTCTAGGTTTGTGTTTGGAGGATGGGATAGATGAACCATGTGCTTGTCGGTGGCTGCAGAGGCCAGAAGGCATCAGATTCCCTCGAAAACTGGGTGCTGAGAATTGAACTTGACCTCTCTGAAAGTGGCGCCAACGTTCTTAATCATCGAATCATCTCTCCAGCTTCCGCTCTCCCCTTCCTCTTTACTTTATTGAAACCGGGTCCCGTGCAGCTCAAAACTGGTCTTGAGGGGGCTGGAGAGATGGCTCAGAGGTTAAGAGCACTGCCTTCTCTTCCAGAGGTCCTGAGTTCAATTCACAGCAACCACATGGTGGCTCACAACCATCTGTATGAGATCTGGAGCCCTTAAATATAAAAAATAAATAAAATTAAAAAAAGAAAAAAAATTAAAACTGGTCTTGAAATCCCAGTCCTCAGCCTCCACCTTCCAAGTGCTGAGAATGACTAGTATTGTACTGAAAACTTTTCTCTTTCAGTGCTGGGAACAAGTCTAGGGTCCCTCGGTTATTGAACTTCATTCCCAATCCCTGTTAGGTATTTGTTCATCGGCCATAAGGTTCGTATCTCTCATTTAGTGGAGAAACGAAAGCCTTAAGTAGCCCAGCGCTTACCATGGCACACCCACGATTGATCTTTCAATTCCTTGCTCTGGTACTCCATTCAGCTGTGAGATTCCTAGCAGAAAGAGGAAGGAGGCCTACAATCCCAGAACTTGGGAGGCTGACTGCAAGAAGATTGTGATGAGTTCAAGGCCAGTCTGGGATGTACAGTAATTACCTGGACAGAGTGCGTGGCAAGATTCTGTTTGCCAGTTGGCGGCAAGGTTGGGATTAGAAATCATTTGAAAATTGGGTATTGGACTTGACTGGTTACAATTGAGCCTTGAAGTTGAAGAATGGAGAAAAGCTGGACCTATATAAATGATTGACTTGTTAAGGTTTCCATGGTCACTTAAGGTATGTATATCTAGCGCCTTGTTGAATAAGCACAGCAACTCTTTGAAGTGCTGGATGTTCTCTTGCTATTCCCCAAGTTGATCACACCTTGTCTGTCCTGTTAGCGTCTGTTTAAAGTGCATGTCTTTTGGATCTTCGTGAGTTTGAAGCCAGCCTGGTCTACGGAGCTAGTTCCAGGACAGCTAGGGCTGTTACACAGAGAAGCCCTGCCTCACTACCCCCACCACGGGGGAAAAAAAAAGTCAGACTGGTCTGAGTGAGTTCCAGGACAGCTAGGGCTACAGAAACCCAGGGGTGGGGGGGGGTTGGAATGGGAAGGGGTGTTAGAATAAATTTAAAACTCAGACTACAGGATACTAAGTTGGGTTGGAGGGGATTGGGGTGGCAAATCAGAACAAAACACCTTATACCAAATTCTCAAAATTTCAAGATTTAAAATCTTTGCTGGGTGTAGCTCAATTTGTTACAAGCATGAGGCCTGAGTTAGACCACCCCTCCCCCCATACCAATGGCAACAAACCCGAGGCAGGCAGTGGAACACTGTAATTCCAGCATTTAGGAGGGTGAGGAAACATTGAGACCCAGGCCAGCTGGAGACAGTTCAGTTAGAGCACTACATTCTAAATACTTATCCTTATAGACAAGAAAACCACAACCCATCACAGTCCAGAGCAAGTTACCTTGTAGTGTCCCTCCCCAACACATTCATCAACCTTGAGCACTTAAGGCTCAAGAGACAGTGAAGAGGACATAAATTGCTAAAAGTCAATGGAACAAGACTGAGTCTGTCTCCATGAAAAGTTAGGGAACCTACATCCATGAAGTCTCAACAACATGACCGCCTCAATAAGACTTCAACAAGGAAGCCAGACATGCTCACACGGAAGGGGGAAACTCAGGTGGGCCCTAACCTTAGACAACTACAGAAAACTAAGAAATGCTGAAAATGGCAGAGAAGCCTTTCCTGGAGGTTCTCTAATTGATCTCTAATACCAAAATGGTCAGTGCTGACATTATACACACAAGTAACATTATACAGACGAAGCATATTACTTTATGAACATATAAACATATTAAGTCAGGCCGTAAGTTTGAGAATGTAAGGAGAGGGTTACATTGAAGAAAGGTAAAGGAAAATTATGTAATCTAATTAAAAAAGTATGGGAAGGAAGCAAAAAACATAAAATGGAAAGCATATGTTACAAATGGTGCTGGCATAACTGGATGTCAACATGTAGAGGAATGAAAATAGACCCATATCTATCCTCATGCACAAAACTCAAGTCCAAATGGATCAAAGACCTCAACATAAAGCCAGCCACACTGAACCTTATAGAAGAGAAAGTGGGAAGTACACTTGAATGCATTGGCACAGGAGATCACTTCCTAAATATAACACTAGTAGCATAGACACTGAGAGAAACAATGGGACCTCCTGAAACGGAAAAGCTTCTGTAAAGCAAAGGACACAGTCAACAAGACAAAATGACAGAATAGGAAAACATCTTCACTAACCCCACATCAGACAGAGATCTGATCTCCAGAATATACAAAGAACTCAAAAAATTGGACACCAAAAGAACACATAATCCAATAATAAAAAGAAAATGGAGTACAGACCTAAACAGAGAACTCTCAACAGAGGAATCTAAAATGGCTGGAAGACACTTAAGGAAATGTTCAACATTCTTAGTCATCAGAGAATAATTCAAATCAAATCTGAGATTTCATCTTACACTTGTTAAGAATGGCCAAGATCAAAAACACTGATGACAACTTATGCTGGAGAGGTTGTGTAGAAAAGGGAACACTTCTGCATTGCTGGTGGAAATGCAAGCTGGTACAACCCCTTTGGATGTCAGTGTGGCGATTTCTCAGAAAATTAGGAAACAACCTTCCTCAAGACCCAGTACTACCACTTTTGGGTATATATCCAAAGGATGCTCAATCGTGCCACAAGGACATGTGCTCAACTATGTTCATAGTAGCTTTGTTCGTCATAGCCAGAACCTGGGAACAACCTAAATGCAGCTCAACCGAAGAATGGATAAGAAAAATGTGGTACATTTACACAATGGAGTACTACACAGCAGAAAAAAAAATGAATTGAATTTTGCAGGAAAATGGATGGAGCTAGAACACATCATTGAGTGAGGTAACCCAGACACAGAAAGACAATTATCACATGGACTCACTAATAGGTGTTTTTTAAACATAAAGCAAAGAAAACCAGCCTACAAACCACAATCCCAGAGAACTTTGACAACAATGAGGGCACTAAGAGAGACATACATGGATCTAATCTGCATGGAAAGTAGAAAAAGACAAGATCTCCTGAGTAAATTAGGAGGAAGGGGACCTTGGGGGAGGGTTGAAGAGGGAAGGGGAGAGGCAGGGAGGGGAGCAGAGAAAAATAGAGCTCAATAAATATGAATAAAAAAATAGAATGAAAAAAAGATAGTAAAAACTTTTCACAAGTAAAAAAACCAGCAATAAGCTTAAGGAAACTCAGGATTTCATGGTGAAGGCTCCAGAAGTTTCTATATGGGAAGATATGTGCCAGTCCACTCCAAGCAGGCACACAGGTAACCATGTATCGGCAACCAAACAACCTCAAAGTTCATGCGGCAAATATTTGACACCAACTACTTGAAAGTAGTTAAGCTGTATCTGGCCCCACAAACCCCTAACTCAGTACAAAACCATTGCATTAGATCAGAGGCCAACGTCACCTAAGATGTTTTACCACAGAGACTTAAATGGATGACTCTTCCATCATACCGCTTACAGTTTACTGAGGAAATATACACCTAAAAGAGAAAGCATTTTAGAAAAACAAATTTTGAGACAGGGTCTGGCCTTAAACTCACAAGTCTGTATTTGAAGGCAAAGATGTTTATTAGCAACATGAAGCTTCTATACAGCAAAAGACAACATTAAACAGTCAAAAGGGCAAAGGGGAAATTGGGAAGGCTTTCCATCAATAAATTTTTATTCAACTTTATTACTGGATGCATAAATTAAAACAGCAAATAAGACAGATTTTTGCCAGTTAGAGTCACAAGACAGAAGAAAGATAGAGGAAGTGGCACCTTGGTCTCAGGCAGCTGTGTCAGAATTTGAAGCACACTCCCCTAGTAAAGCTGCTACGTATAAAGTCAAGCAAAGCACAAAGCAGCATTTTAGCAGCACTGTGTATAATAGAGGCAACGAGAGAACACAGTCTGAATGTCTTTGAAGGGAAGACTGAATACATTACATACAGTATGAAATGCACACAATCAATGCAATATTAGGCAGTGAATGGCATATTGTTGGGGAAAAAAATGAACCCGTATAATATCTCCTTGACAACATATGCATGATTATATTTATACAGGACATTGAGACTGAGGGGCAAGTTCTTTTAAAAGATACCTTTAGTTTTAAACATCCTATTTTCCAAGTCAATTAAGAACAAATAAACAATTAACAAAAAAACTGGATTTTAGCTATGAAAGTCCGTAGCTCAAGAGACAGTGGGGAAGGGCAGCACCTGAAGAACATGGAACTAAGGACAAGCTGGTAGATACACAGTTGAAACCAGAGCTAGGCAGAGGACTTTGCAGGATGACTAAAGACACGATCACATAAAAGACACATAAAAGGTATATAAACATAGGCTACAACTATATACAT